TGAAGTCAAAAGTTGCATTTGAAAATTCTATTGGGCACCCAGTGCCAATCAAAAGCTATTATTGCACAACGCCAAACTCTTCAGCAACTAGAGTCACCTCGCCAGAGAGGAAGCCCCCGATTAAGTTCAATGAAACTGGTAGAGGTGAAAACGGCAGGGACAGCACGCCCTCCGAAAACAGAATATGTTCAAGGAAGAAAAAATCCAAATTACTGTTCAGCAATTCCATCGGTTATGGACAGAAAGGGAGTAATAATGCCACCAATAAAAGTGACGTTCCATCAGCAGTTGGAAACACTTCGTGTGCTACGCTACCACCTTATGGCAAGATACAATACACTTCTCACTGGAACAACAGTGGAAGCAAGCTGACGAAGACCTTCCCTTCAAAATCATTGCTAGCTGATGAATTTCCCAAGTGGGGAGGGAGCATTGGAGGTTATGCTTTTAAGAACACCTGCCCCATTGACAACTGGATGGTAATCTTTCATTATGTGTGCTTGGAAAACAAAAATGTCAAAGAAAGAATTCAAAGGGAAGATGCTCGACTTCTGAAAGAATTAGAAGGCCTTTATTGCGCTGGGCAATTTAACAGAGTAAAATTACGACTCATGGAGGTGCATGGGATGCARCACTTTCGGGGCTTGGTTGATTTCTTCGGAAATGAGTGGAACTTYTACCTGAAGCACCTCCAGATATTTTCCCAAAACACACAGTTGTTTACCTGCTCTTCAAGATACTGTCCTGCGAGAGAAAGACGGCTGCAGAGCAGTAGCTGCATCACGTGGGCAAACACTGAAGCCACGTTATCTGAAGARATACAATCTTGGTTCGAGCCTGAAAAGGAAGTCACTTTTTGCGGCCAAGAATTCAAWACAGCGCCCCCACAAGAAGCACCAGTAGTTGTTTCAAGCCAGGGGTAAGAAACTATTTGAAGTATATAACAGGGTTCGTGTTACATCTCAAACACAAAATTCAAGGACTTTTTAAGGACTTTTCAAGGCCCAAAATTACGGTTTTCAATGACCATTTTGTTTGTGAATTTTATTTTTTTAAACAATTTATGGAGACAAAAAACCATTATTTAATGGCTTTATTTTAACAATGACTTTTTTAATTTGGAGCTCAGTAACATCGACTTGTAATGTAAATTAAGCTGAACATGAGTTACCAATGCCTTGCTGTTATTTGAGCTACAAGCTAGAACTTTACAATCGAAATATGTTACAATTTCAAGGAGTATTCCAGGATTATCCAGCAGCTTTGCTGTTTTCAAGGGCTTTTCAAGTGCACTTGAAAATGTGTTTTCAATTCCAGGGCTTTTCAAGGATTTCAAGGAGTAGCACGAACCCTGACATAAGAAAAAGCTTCGGTTTAAAACCTACTGACCACCCTTAGCTCCCGCGTAGTACTTGATGGGTTACGGCAGAGGGAATACTTGACAACTTATTCGTGGAGGTTATATTTGGTAATGTTTTCAAATCCCACAAGACATTTTTCCTTGACTTGATAAGGAAGGCAAGAACTAATCCTACATGAAGGAATGGGTCTTGAGCGAATTTTATCTTTAAGAAAGAATCATGCTTCAAGTATGATATTTGAAGGGATATTTGATTGTATGTTTATCTTAACATTTCAGCTCATCAACGAAATATTCATGCAAAGGACTGAAAACAATCCATGAGCGATCTTTTGGCTCATACAAAATGCCAGTATTAATGTTGGTTGACGTTGAGCTGATGTCTCAACTAAAACCTCTTGAAAAGAAAGATCTGCCTGAAAACATTGAGGTTTTCAAGACGAGGTAAGTTTGGGGCTTTGTATGACTGTATGAGGACAAAAATATACATGTCCATCTATTGAAAATGGAAAACATGAAGCGCATACTCTCCGACAAGACATCAGATATTTTGAACTACTTAGCAGACAAATTTAAAGAAAAACATAATATGGTAGTGGTAACTTAAATTACACAAAGCAATTTTCATCTAGGCCCTTTGTAGATYGAATTAGAATTTACAAGTTGATTTTTGCGGGGGGAGGAAAACCGGAGGAGCCGGAGAAAAACCCTAGAAACACAGGAGAGAACAAGCAAAATAGCTTTACTCACATATGACGTCAGCCCGATAATCGATCCTGGGTCGCATTGGTGAGAGGCGAGCGCTCTCACTGCTAYGCCAACCATAGTATGACTGATTTCGAATTAAGCRGGGCCCGGTTGTACGAAGTGGATAGCAGTGGATAAATTTATTGGATAACWGCATCGACTTATCCACTGGATAAGGATTTATCCGCCGGATAGCGATATCCAGGCTTCGTMCAACCGGGCCCTGGTGTTTACTTTATGCAAACGTCAGAGTGCTTACCCGCAAGACTCGCAAACAAATGGAAATGGGAGAAGTTTCATAGTAGCTACTAACCAATTAAAGGGATAACAAATTAATCTCATTAATTTTGCAGTCGAATAGCTTTGACCGATGATGTCTCTTTAGATTTTCCAGTCTACAAAAAAACAGCAACGAATATATTTTTGTTCTTTCTTTCAGATATCAGCTCAACGCCATCACTTTACTAAATGAAATTGCTAGACACTACATCTGCATTTTTCGCTACTGTAAAAACTGGTATCTTTATGATGGTTTGGTCGACGGAGGCAAACCAACTGCATTTGTTCAAATCCCTGCACAATATCGCCTTTCTACATGTATGTACGTAAAACAATAGTCGGCGCATTGCTGTTATACTTGAATTCAATTTATCTGTTGAGTTAGAAATGTTATTATTTTTAATGGATTTTTTTCCATGTGAATTTTTCGTTGTTACTCGGTGTAATATTCTTTATCAAGTAAATAAAATGCTTTTTTACTCAAATAATCTAATTGACTTTAAAAATGACCTAGTGAGAGACAACTAGTAAGAAAGGGCTTACCTGACATTCTCTACCTTAGCATACCCCATAATGCTTTGCGTCTTGCACCAATCAAAATAC